ACGATAGCGGCACGCGCTGCCACGCTGAAGCCCGCTTGCGCGCCCACGTGGTTAAGCTATTCCCAAATGTAGACAGTGGCCGGATTGTCAATGGGTTTGAGGCCGATCTGGTGGTTGAAGCTGTCCTGGTCGCTGTCGTCGTGTTCGCCTCCCTCGTCGATGGTCTGGCAGTCGCTGATGCCGGACGTTGCCGAAGCAAGGCTCAACTCGTTGATGTTGGAATAAGCCTCCTTGGAAACCTTGCTGTAGCACCTCCAATGAGATGGCCTCCAGGTGCCTAATACAGCTGTAGTACGTGTGGTCAAGCTGCACGAAGTTCTTGGTGGTTGCGGCGCCGAAGATGCCATGCCGGCGGGCGAGCCTCGCAGCTTGCGCTAGGCCTGGAGGCGAGCATCCGCATCACCCGGTTGTGCAAAACGAAACGCAGCAGATGCGGTTCCGCCGGGGCCATCGCGCAAGCTCTGGCTGCGAGAAGGTGGGAAACACGGAGAGACAATACTGTCGGTGCCGCCTGCGCCAAAATTGGCTACGGAGGGAGGAGGAGGAGGAAGAATAGGAGGAGGAAGAAAGAAGAGGAGTTGGAGGAGGCCGGGGAAGAGACGGAAGAGAAGGAAGAGAAGGAGAAGGAAGGTGAGGAGAAAGAGGATGAGGATGAGGATGAGGAGGAGGCGGAGGAGGAGGAAGAGCAGCGGGAGGAGGAGGAGGAGGAGGAGGAGGAGGAGGAGGAGGAGGAGGAGGAGGAGGGGAGGAGGAGGAGGAGGAGGAGGAGGAGGGAGGGAGGGAGGGAGGGGGGGAGGGAGGGAGGGAGGGAGCGACGGAGGTGAGGGGGAGGGAGGGAGGGGAGAGGGAGGAAGAAGAGAGGGAGAGAGGAAGGGGTGGAGGGAAAAAGGGAGGGAGGGAGGAAGAGGAGGAGGAGGAGGAGGAGGAGGAGGAGGAGGAGGAGGAGGAGGATACGGATACGGATGCGGATGCGGTTGCGGATACGGAGGCGGATGAGGAGGACGAGGAGGAGAAAAGCTGTGTAATCTGGCAGCGACGTCGGCGGACGAGGAAAGACCACTGAGCTCAATGCACCTACTGCACCACTTCTGAAACAGGAAAGCCCATTCAGTCGAGGGTCACCCCTGGGCCCAGGAAGGTTTCGAGAGATTTAGCTTTCGGGGCGATCAGGAATTGAAGCCAACTGGGAGTCACAGGAAGAGCACAGCCTGGGCCGCAGATTTGACCACATCTGTAAGGCCAGTCCAGAAGGGAACGATCACACACTTGACGGCCTGCAGGACCGCCGCAACTTTCTGCCGCTTGAGAACATGGGGAGCAATGACTCGGATCGCCATCGAGGCGCGAAAGACCGTGCAAGTGTCACTCGCGCAGGCTCCGAGAAGACCAAACTGGCGAGCGCGGAGCCCCAGAGAGAGGAAGCGGAAGAAGGGATCGAGTCCAAGCGCCCACAAAGTGCAACTGAGAGGGCACCCCTGGGCCACGCCCGAGAGGATGGGGATCTCACTCACACTTTGCCTCCTACTCTGGCATAGCCCACCACGTGGGGGCACAGTCTAGCTATGGTACACCTTTATGCGAGAGGGAGTTTGAAACGCTCAAGAACTTTGCTCAGGTATGTCCTGTCTAGGCTCGCGAAAGCCGATGTGACATCGAAGCTGGTAAATACTGGATGGTTCTCCGCGGCTTCGGGGTCCATCGAAGTGATTCTACGCCCTGTGTCCATGAGAAGGATGTGCTTGGTGAAGTTCCTCCCCGGGACGAAGCCTTGCTGCGCCTCGTCGGTGGCCGACTCGGCCGCGCGCCTGAGATTCAAGTTGATGGCTGAGGCGATGGCTCTCAAGCCTTGGCTACTGGGGCTCAGCGGCCTGCTCTGCTGCGGCTGGCGGACGCAGTCCACGAGGTCGCCGCGGCCCTCCTCGGGCGAGCCCTCCGGCGGGAAGGCGACGTCGCTGCCATTCAGGCCAGGCGCCGCGATGGTGCCCCCAAACAGCTTCGGCATCACCGGGCAGATGTTACCCATTGCGCGGGGGCACGGGAGCCACGCCTCCACAACTAGCCTGTCAGGCCCTGGCGCAGGCCGCCTCGCCCGGCGAAGAGCGGTGCGGAGCTGCTCCAGGCTGGCGATCGCGAGGTCCGCGGGCGGCATGTCGGGCACCGCGCCGCCGAGGAACTCGACGGCAGCTGCGTCGGCCGCTGGGGCCAAGGAGACGGGGGCGCAATGCTTCGCGAGGGCGTCGACGACGTCGCCACAGGTTGCCGGATGACGGGGCCGTCGGGACCTACGGAGTGGACCTGCAGACCGTGCAAGAGGAGGCGCTGACGGAAGGGGGCTCGCAGGGCTGCGCGCCACCGTGCCGTCGCCTCCTCGCGCTGTAGCACGTCAGCATGCTCGGGGCTCTCGTTCTGCTCGGCCCCCCAGGCGGCCTGCCGGACCTGGCGCCCGCGCTGTCGCCGGCTGAGGTCACGATAACCGTTCTCGGGGCTGGCCGCGTCGACGCGGCGGACGGTGGCGGACGATGCAAGGGCAGGAAATGTGGTTTCAGAAAACCCCTCGAGGGACCTTAAGAGGGAGTTCTCCCGGCGCCATCTCCGACCACCTCGAGGTGGCGATTGCCCCAGTTCCGCGCTGCGAATCAAGCGCGGGGCGATCAAGCGGTCCCAACGCCACGCCGTTGGCGCAAAGCTACGCACGGTGCGCTTCCGCGACTCGAGCGCTTCGTGGGTGCCAATCTCCGCGCCCGGGGAGGGCTTGGAGAGCGCGCCCCAGGTGGGCAGGGCTGCCACCCTCCTCGTGCGCTTTGTGCCCGAGAGACACTGTTCGGGGGGGATAACCAAGTCCAGGGCGCCCATCAAGGTGCCTAGCGTCGCGGCGTACATCGGGGCCTTGAAGACGTGTTCAGGTGTGCTTTGTGGCCGAGATCGGGAGCGGCCAAGAGGGGGGTGTCCAAGAGGGGGGGGTGCAAATCATGACCGGCGGCATGTGCGCGGCCCAGCGGGGGGGGCCAGGGACGTAATGAAATACGAAGAGGCGCCAGGAGATCTGGGGAAATATCATGGCCCCCGCCATGATATCCCCCCCCCCCTAGTCATCCCCCCCCTCTTTGCCGCCCCCGACGAGAGGCAGGCGATGTCGTCTCCAGCGTCGCGGAACCACAGCGCGAAGGCGGTCTTGAGCTCGGCCCTCGCGAAGGTCGACGTCGGGCCGCACGAGAGAAGACCGCGAACTCGGGCGGGCGATGCCACTCCGCGAGCTGCTGCAGCGCGAAGGCGGGGACCTTCGACTCGGAAAGAGTGTCCTCCGCCTCTTTGCCAGATTCCCTGTGATGCTGTTGCTCCTCTTTCGAGCATGGACTGCTCGCGGTGGGAAGTACTGGTACCAAGTGTGACTGCATTGACTGGATGATGCCCGCCTCTAGCGAGCCCCGCATGGACTGGATGCTGGTCGTGCCCATCGTCGACAGGGACGCCGACATATTGGCCTCGATGGAGGCTTGGGCCGCTCCGAACTGGTCGACCGACGAGGAAGAGGAGGAGGAGGGAGGAGGAGGAAGAGGAGGAGGACGAAGAGGAGGAGGATGAAAAGGAGGAAGAGGAGGAACGGCATCATCAGTGGCAGGATCACATCACAGGGAAGAAGCTCGAGGAAGAGGATGAGGAAGAAAAGGAGGAAAACGGCATGAGGGAAACAGTAGAAGCACGCAGCATGAGAAAGAAGACGCTGATGCGAATGAGGAAGAGAACGAGCTAACGGAGAGTGGGTCGGAGAAGGAGCACGATGACGAGGATGATGAGACGATGATGAAACTTGTGGTGAAGATGAGAAGGATTAGGAGCAGAATGAGCAGGAGGAGGAAGAAGGCGAGGCCTAACAATTTCAAAAGCGCGCCGCCCTGAGCCAACCTCCAAAAGAGCGAGCTCGGCACACGCGCGCGCGAGAGATAGAGAGAGTCAGCGAGAGGGAGGAGAAAGAGAGAGGGAGGGACGGGGAGGAGAGAGAGAGTGAGAGAGAGAGAAAGAAAGAGGGAAAGAGAGAGAGAGAGAGGGAGAGGAGAGGGAAGAGAAGGAGAGAGAGAGAGAGAGAGACAACATCTCTTCCACGCCCTTCCTCCCTCTCCCTCATATCCTCCTGCTTCCGCTGGTCACTGACAATATTTCCCTCTAGGGTATTGGGCTCATCCTCCTACTCCTCCTCCTGCCACCGCTGCCGTTCATTACTCCTGCTCCTGTTCCTGCTCCTGCTATCACTTTGCCTGCTGCTGCTCATCCTCCTGCGCCACCTGGTGCTGCTCCTCTTTTTCGCGATCCAGTAGCACTTCCTTTGATCCGCCCCTCCCTTTACCCGTTTCCATCGCCGCCACCTTCGCCCCTCCTCTTACTCATGCTCTGCCTGATCCCTGGCCTCCGCATCACCTATCTTATCACAGTCGTCGGTTATTCCCCATCTGACCATCCCTCCCCCGCCGATGTCGCCAATTCGTGATCGTTACCAGTCGCCTCGTCGAGCCTCCCCCTCCTACTTCTGCTGGTGCTTCGCTGCTCCTGCTGGCACTCCTGCCCTGCTCCTTCGCCTGCGCCCCTCTGCCGCTGCTCCTGGTGCTGGTGCTGCCTTAGCTCCACGCACGTACCTCCTCCAACTAACTCCTCCTCCTTCTTCTCCTCCTCCTCCTCCTCCTCCTCCTCCTCCTCCTCCTCCTCCTCCTCCCCCTCCTCTTCCCTCCTCGGTCTTCCCTCTTCTATTCTCCCCTCCATTCCCACCCACCCTCCACCACCATTCCTCTCCCTCTCTCGCTTTCCTCCTCCGCCTCCTCCGCCTCCTCCTCCTCCTCTTCCTCCTCCTCCTCCTCCTCTTCCTCCTCCTCTTCCTCCTCCTCCTCCTCCTCCTCCTCCTCCTCTTAACCATCCTCCCTCCTTTCCTCTCCTCCTCTCCTTTCCCCGCCCCGTGGCCCGTGCCTGCTGCCAACATTCGTCTGCCGGCCCTGGGAGACCCACCCCGGGTCCCTCTCGGGCGGCGGCTGCTGGACGGTGACGGGGTACTCCACCTGTGCCAGCGCGGCGGGCTCGCCAACGGCAGTCATAGCAGGAAGGCGCTGCGCCCGGATCTGCCCGGGCAGGGCGTGGAAAAGTATGGGGAGCGTGTTCGGAGGACCGGTGCCGCCTCCTCCTGCTAGCCCTCGTCGAGCCCAGTCCTCTTCTGCTCCTATAGGGCTCCTTCTCCTAGGCATATGCCCCCTCCGACTGGTAATTACCCTCTGCGTCCTCGCCATTTTCCTCCTCCCCCTTCTACACCTTACCCCTCCCCATGATCTCTCTCTCTCTCTCTGATGCAGGCCACTTGAAGCCCACGAGCGATATATCCCCCTGACGATCAGACTAAGAATATACTTCCCAGACTGAGAAGAGCTGTCACGACTTGCGTTTGGATCTTGCCTGGTACATAATTGTAACCTTCTGCGGTCGGAGAGCGGTGTGGGATGGGGATGGGGAGGGCAAAGGAAGATGGCAAAAGGAAGAGAGAAGGTGAGGGACGGAGCGAATAGCATGCCTCTGGCATCGGCACGAAGGTTGGGAACGGCAGCTTGATGTGTTTGTTCTTCAGCGCGGTCTTCCCGCGCCCGTCCGTGATCTTGACGACTGCGCCCTTGTACCCTGCCGAGGAGGGGGGCAAGAACCAGGCACCTCTGACTGGATTCGCCGGCAGCCAAGCAGGCGGCTGCAGGCCACCAGCTCCTCCTCCTCCTCCTCCTTCTCCTCCTCGTCCTCCTCCTCCTTCTCCTCGCTCTCCAATGTCACTCTCCCCCATCTCCTCCTCCACCTCCTCCTCCTCATGCATCACATATCCCTCATGCGCCGTGCTCTCCTCAGCCTCGTCATTCCTCCTTGCTGGATGGCCCATGTTACGGAATCAAACCACTTCCCCTCATCCTGTTCCTTCCCCTGGACCTCCCGTTGGCGGGCTCCAAAAACCCTGACAAAAAAAACGTGCCCCCTCTTGAGAGGCCGACTTTTACTTCAGCCGCCTTCCGCCGAGTCTCCGCTGGCTTCCGCCGGCGGAGCCGCCCACGTTCTACTTCCGTCGCCTTCCGCCGAGGACGAGACGGCAACTCCTTCGATCCTCGAAGACGAGGCCCTTTCTTGAATGCCTCTTTAGATCTCCATAAAATTATCATCATCATCATCATCATCATCATCATCATCATCATCATCATCATCATCATCATCATCAGCATCATCATCATCATCATCATCATCATCATCATCATCATCATCATCATCATCATCATGATCATGATCATGATCATCATCATCATCATCATCATCATCATCATCATGATCATCATCATCATCATCATCATCATCATTATCATCATTAGAACATGCTCGCCTCGCAGACCCTGTCTACACTGAACAAGACACTAAGAGATACGCAGCATGGCGTGGCGCAGGACATACATGATAATGAAGACACAACGACGCATCCTTTGAATCCCCCCAGTCGTCTGGGCGGAGGTGGTTTAGGACGGTTCCTCTTCCATTCCCCTTCTTCCCTTCGGGGAGGGTTCACCTCTGCCCCCTACGAATTCGCCGGCCCAACGGGCCAGAGGCGTGCTAAGATCTCCGGTAGCTTGTTAACAATATTTCTAGTTCGCGCGCGCGGAGCGGCCCCTGGGGGCCCCCGGACGAAAAGTACCCCGGCAAGGTCCCGAGAGAAGCCCGGGAGAAGCCACCAGACCACTCCAGGGGAGGGTATTTTTCGACACCCCTCACGAGGATCGTGGCCTCCGAGGGGGGAGCCGCAATCGACTACCCCCAAGAGCCCCCCAAGAGGCCCTGGGGGCCTCCAAAACGCCGCCAAGGAGCCCCAAGAGACTCCCAAGAGGTCCCCAAGAGGCCCCCAAGAGGCCCTAAAGAGGGCTCCAGGGCCGGCGGCATGAGCGAAGCAATTAAATAAACACCTCCTCCCTCATCCGACTGGCGACAAATCAAAATCAATGCATCCCCCACCACTTCTGAAAAAACAAAATGACATTCTGGGAATCTTGAGGGGCCCACGAACTTGGTACGGAAACTGGGTCAAATCATATGCTGTCTGACTTCTCTGATGACGCCTCCGTTTGTGAGGATGTCTCAGACGAGAGCCAAGCTCTTGAAGGTACGTCGAATTCGGGAGCTCACTGAACATCTCTTTTGTTATGAAGATGTCTGCAGCGAAACGCCCCGCAACACCAACTTCGATACCCAACGCCCTAGCTCAACATCTCAATCTTCCGAGGATGTCGCATGCGAAAGCTTCACTTCTGAGAACCAACGTCGTAAAACAACTCTTCAAACGTCCCCATTGTACGAAGATGCCTCAGGCGAACGAATCCCACAACGTGTTGAATATTCGACGCCCGATCTTCCACAAATCACTATTGAGAGAATGTCCAAAGTGAGAGCCTCGCTTTTGAGAACCAACGTCGTAAACAACTCCTCCAACAGTTCAATGTACTGTGGATTTCTTAAGCGATAGCCTTGCTGTTCCGAGAGTACCCTAGAGCTTTCCAAGAGCGCCCCAAGAGGGCTCCAAGAGGTGATGGTTCAAGCCCAAGGGGAACAACCCTAATCCATACCGCCCCCTTATTTGAAAGATGTCCTTCAAAATGGCTCCAAGAGGGCTCCAAAGCTCCCAGGAGGGTCTCAAGAGACATCCGAGATGGCTCAGGAGGCCTTCCGGCATGCCTCCAATATACCCCAAGCCCACCGCAAGACGGCTCCAAGTGGCCACGGAGACCCCGAGAGACCAACATCCTTCCAAAACCCAGGGAGCGATCCACTCAGTTGTGCCTTCTCGCCTCTTCTCTTCCGATGTGTTTCTGAGGCCTCATGACGGCTCTGATGTGGTCGATTCGGAGCTTGGGCTTCATTCGCATGTCTCTTCCACTGGACGATCCCACACTTCTCTGATCAAGGCAACTCGCCTGGCATCGTTTCTGGATGGGCTCGTTTCCGTCGTCGCGTCGTAGCTATATTCCTCATACGTCCTCCTCCCCATCATCATCCGACTCCTTCTTCCCCTCAAGCTTCTCATCCTTTCGCTCTCCTCCCACTCCTCCTCATCCTCTCCATCCTCCTCGCCCCTTCGTAGGGTTTACCAGTAGGTGAGCGGGAGCCCGCTCTGTATACTTCATCATACTTCCACTGTGTGTTGCTATGCCTGCTTCGTCAAAGCAGCTCCGTAAGAGCCGTTGCTGGCAGGGCTGGTGGGTACATGCGAGGCGTCAAGAATGAAACTATGCTGCCCAGGCGCCTGGCCTATACGCCGTCCAACGTCGGCCTAAGCTTGAGGCGGGCGGCGCGCCAATCAACAACGTACTTGTCTCGCAAACACCACTGCAGCCGATAGCGTATATCACAACGTAGCGCAACTCCAGCGATTGGCGGCGAACGCGGGGAGGAAGTGAGCAGGGGCGGGCCGTCTCAGGAGGCTCGGAAGTCCCCAGGCCGTCTGAGGAATCTTCCGAGCCTGCCTTCCCCGAGGACACAACACACAAGCTTCTCAGAAGGCGAGGGGGCCTCCGAGAAGTCCCGCCGCTTCTGAGAAGGCCTTCTCCCTCGCACTTCCCCCCTTCGGTGGTAGCTCATGGGAGCTTCCCATGCCATCCTGTCGGCTCTTGCGAATCGAAGCTAACCGACGCTCCACGCTAAAATGACGCCAGCCGACGCTACATCGGGGCTATCTCAGCGACTCCCTGAGGCCAATCGACGCTTAAGACGGAATTCAAAGGGTTTACCAGGCTCCCATGCCTTGTTACCGAACCTCCCCACTCGCTCGCCGCCGAAACGATCGCTGGCGCCAAGCCTGCACATCCCCCGTTCACACTTGAGAGCGAGACTCTTCGCCCGACGACCCCGCACGGGCCCGCCGCAGAGGCTTCGGGATAGATATACCCCTCTCGCGGGGGCGCGCGCGGTCGGGAGGGGGGGGAGGAGGAGGAGGAGGAAGAACGCTCGTTGAAGAAAAAACGTCATGAGCATAAACTTTTGGCGCTCCGCGCGGATTTCTTGGATCCGCGCTGGGCCCCCCCGGCGGCGCATCCGGCGCCGCCCCTGACGCATTCCGCGCGCCAGGGAGGGGGGTCCAGTGCAGATCCAAGAAATTCACGCGGACCGTCGACAGTCTATGTTTATGTCGGTTCTTCTTCTTCTAAACGCTGACGCTACGAGCGTTCGCTCCGCGGTTTTCTTCAGAGAAGGAGAGAGAAGAGGAAGAGGATCACCGAACATGCTGCTAGTGGTCCTGGTCTGCGGAAGCGGGAATCCGTTGTCGATGAGATCTCACGGAACTGGGGCATTACGTAGAAGACGCTGTCGGGGGCCCTCGGCATCATGCGGATTCGTTCGACGTCGCGCAGAATGGCAAGCTGCGAACTCCTGTGACGAAACGACCAATCGCCGCATAGTTCGATGCATAAGTTGCATACAAAGACACGTGGTGGGCGTGAGAAGATCGGCAAGGTGCTTATTCATCCTCCAACGAGTCCACAATATATTCGCGCGGAGGATCATGAGCGTGCAGCCCCTTCTTGTGATCTTGCACGCCCAAGCAATGGAATTAAGCACTGCCCTCTACGGCCACGAGGGTTGACTCGATCACGCTGGAACCTCGAAGTGTTGAGTCCGATAAGCTGTTTGCACGACGGAGCCCTGGCCAATGTTCACGTTGTGGCTGACGCATAAGACTTCTCAAGTTATATTGCTCCCATCGTACTTAAGGACCACATCCCAGAAACAATTTCGAGCACCCAGAAGAGTATCGAAACAGTGTCGAACGAGTATCGCCTCCCAGGGACCGACACGTGAAAACCCTCAAGTTTCGGTGATTCCTTGGTGCTCGAAATTCTTTCTGGTGATCAATGCTAAAGTAGGTTGGAACAGCATAATTCTCAAGCTGTATGACCAGAACTGGTCCTGGCATATACGGATGGGGGGGCCCTTCCTTCTCAGAGGCGGGGGCCCCGCGGGACAGCAAAAGCCCGAGCTTGTTGATGACGCTACTGACTCTTGTCGGCGGCGAGCGGACGTGAGAAGGAGAAGGCCCTCTCGGAAGTCGGCGGGGCTTCTCAGAGACCCTCGGGCCTTCTGAAAAGTTTGTTGCGTCGTCGGGGTAGGCTTTGAAAACGTCTCGGAAGGCTGGGGGACTCCTGAGCCTTCTGGGAAGGCCTTCTCCTTCTCACTCCCCCCCCGGCTCACCGCCGATCTTGGCACACACACAGCCAGAATGGCGCTGGGCGGCTCGTGTTCGGAACGGGGCGGCCCTCGTACAAATGGCAAGCCCATGGGGGCGCCCGTCTTTCAGGGTAGGCTGGCATGGGCCTGACGTCAGGGGGGAACCTGGGACGGGAGGGTGCACTGCGGCATCGTTGGTGCACCCTGGGCTTGCTCTGGCGCTCTGCCTCCCTTCTCCTCCGTGGATCGGGCGCTCCACACGGTCTGGAGCGTCAGCGACTGCGGCGTGTTGCTGACAGCACGGGCACCAATCGTCCATCTCTGCGGAGCCCAGGTGTCACGGGCCGACCACCCTCCTTGATAGACAGCCCTGGTGGAAGTCAGACTCGACAGGGCCAGTCACGATGGGCGCCGGCCCGGGGGGGAGAGGCAAAGAGGAGAGAAGAGGGAGAGTGCAGGGGGCTGAAATTGGGATCCCGTTGAGGCGTCTAGGAGCTTGCAGGGAGCCGCGGCTGTATCGTCCTTCATTCCTCCTTGTGGGCATCATGCTCGGCGCATGCCCTTCCTTCAAAGACCTCGAATGGCTTATCGGCCAGCGCGGGTCACTGATCTGCTTGACAGGCCGCGTAGGTGGCTGTAGACGTGCGGTCCTCCTCCTCCTCCTCCTCCTCCTCCTCCTGGAGGCCTGGGAGAGCGCCCTTGAGGAAGATCAAGTTGCGCTCGGACTCGATTCGGAACACCTTCGCATTGACGCACCGTGGATCAGGGCCCATGTGACCAGCGGCCTCGCAGCGTTGCTACGCTTGCGTGGGCCCAATCAATCGTCCGTGCTCCTGCACTTCTCCACACCTGCTGGTGCGCTACCTGATTATCTGCTTGCCCGCTCGGTTGCGCGTTCGAGGAGTAGTCTCTGTTTGCTACCCAACTCCTTACTCGTCCACTTACCCGCTCGCTTGTTTCAAGCAACTTGATGAGCCCCTTGCCCCCTCGCAATTGTTTTCCCGATCGTTCCATCACTCGCTGACTCGACCACTGCTTATTCTCTATTCTTCTTCGTACAGTGGAGGCCCGTCCGCAAGAAACCTTCCACAAGAAAACCAACCCTGAGACCCCAGGAGGTCCATTGATTTGGGGCGTGGGAACGTCATGCCTCCCACAGACGAACCATCGAAACAAAAGAAACCCAGGGCACCCTGGAGGCAAGCAGGGTGTTTCTTGGCATGGGCCCCCACTGTATTCCTCTTCTTCATTCACTCGCTCGCATCCTGATGGCGTCAACCATTTTAGGAGGATGCCGGTACAAAGGCTTGTCGCACCTGCTGCCCGAAGGCCAGACGGAAAGCCCCAGGCAAAGGCAGCTGCAAAGTGTCAGCTGCCGAACTGTTCCTTCGATCCTCGTCTTCGTTCCTCGTCGTGCCGTCGGATCGTCGCCGACTGTTAGAAACGCGTTCGCATAGCAGCATCGTCAGCGCGAGATCCCGCAGCACTTGCCGCAGACGCGGTCGGGAGAGCGGCGAATGATCCACATCCTCCTTGCGATCATAATAAGGAAACGAACTCTATACACCGACGCGTTTCCCGACCCTGCGCTGAAATTTGCACAGGAACGCGGATTCTGGTGTATACGGGATCCTGGTGTATACATGTTCCGTGGTTTCCCCAGGACAACGGGGGGTAATGTATACACCACACCACCCCGACGTCGTCCCCGACCCTTAAAAAGTCGTGGGATTGAAAAGCAACCCGCCACTGGTAATGTATACGTTCCAGTTTGCGAGGATGATCCACATCCTCCTTGCGATCACAAGGCGGAATGCCGTTGAGCTCGACCAGCCACAAGGGCAGACGCGCAACCACGAGGGTGGCACAAAGGGATCTCGGAACACCAAGGCGCAGCACTGAAGGGGCCCTGGGGCACACACACCCACAAATACAGACAAATAAAAGGAATCCCCATACTATTCCCATATGCTCTGGGTTTTTGTCTTCCCCCCACTTCCCATATTTTCCCATATTTTCTGGGGAATCGACGATTGATTGTGTCTGTGTGTGTTGCCCCCTCCTGAAACACACATCATCCTGACAGGTCCTTCGACCCGATTCCGACCAAGCCTGCGAGGGCGCTCGCGGGGAATGGAGAAGGGGAAGCTGCGAGGAGTATGGGGAGGAGGGAAGGGCGAGGGAGGGGGGTGGGATGGAGAGGGGGGTAGCGGAAGCCAAGGCGCAAACGACGAGCACATGGGAAACTGAACACATACAACAAATCCCTCTGGCGCGCTGCTCAACATGCGCAAAGCACGCCGTGCCTTCTTGTACTTCCAAACCTTCTTCGCGCCCTTCTGGCCCATCGAACCGTGTGCGCGGTGGGACTTGGTGTGGCCGCGGAAGTCGGAGCCGCCCCCTTGGAAGCCCCAGCGCTTCATCGGGCCCTCGGGCGGGGGCAGGAGAGGAACGTCATTAGGGTTAGCATCTTTCCCACCGCCCCCGCCCCCCCTTTCTTCAACCAACTGATTCCTCAAACTAGCCTGGCTGATTCCGCCCACATGTCAACTGGAACGCCGCAATGCCACAACTATCCTATATGTGAGATAGCTTCCGAGACGCGGCTCTAGCCTGAAAAAAAACAAAGGGATGCCGCAGTTATTGCCGACACACCGATATCTCATAGCTTCGTGCGGGAACTCTACAACCAGAATGCTAAAGCTGCCCACACGTGCTCCCATGAATTTGCGGTACGCCGGGGCAGTCTTGACTATCACGTCATATTCACTACGCTTCTGGTGTCTGGCAACTGTGCTCTGCACGCCCGACCCCAGTGTCACATTGTATGTTCTGAGATGGTACCAGTGGAAACGATCTCTTGCCCGGGCCAACCATGCGTCAAGTCACGCTGCCCTGCGCCTCTTCATACCAACGCCTCGGCCCTTGCCTTCACTTTTGACACGCTCAGCTCTACTCTGCCCTGCTCGACTCCTGCTTCAAGCCGAATGTACTCCTGCACGGCGCAAGCTCTGCTGTTCCCATTACGGGCTGCACGCACTTTGCCGTCATCGCACCCCTATTATAACCCCTTGCCGTTCCTCCACGGCGACTCCAATTCCACACACACCCTGCTGCAATACAGTCGGGGCGTTGACCCAAGGAACCCTAAATAAGGAACGAGGCCCCTTTTTTCCATAAGTTAAACTTCGATGTTCCATCGAAAACCAAAGGAAAACCCAAGGCAAACTGTGAAACAATCAAGGAACACGGAGCCCCTCCCCAACGAAAAGGGTTCCTTCTTCAGGTCCCGACTGTATACTGCGCGCTGCCACTCATTTTAAGCTAACCATGTGCGCGTGAACCTACATTCAATGTTGGCACATCATACTACAACACACACATTGAACTATATGTGTATATCTATACACACAGAACTTCTGCGCGCGCACTTCCCCAAATCACAAGGTGCTGCCCAACTGTTGGATGAACTTTGCAAACAATGATGGGTTTGTCGAGGTGATTGGTGTTCATTTGCTTGCGCGGCTTTGTCGGTGGTCAGGCTACGGCATTAGGCGTACGCCCGCAAGCGCCCGCTGAGCTCAGCACTGGCCCCTGACATGACGAAATAGCTGTATTATTCAAAAGGTTAACGAAGGGATGAGAATGTTTATGATTAAGTGGGTAGGCGGGGATGTCCGGATCAACTCCAACGTGCGCAAAGACGGACATTGTGATACACTGTTTCTCCTTCATTCCCTGCCGGGGTCTGCCTAGCCTAGTCCGGCCCGAACATGTGTTATGTCGTTTGCGTATCGCTTGGGGACACAAGCGTCCCGAATACAAATGATACAACGCCTCCGCGGGCCAGGATTTTGGTTGGCCTGGGCCTGTTCCAATGTAACGAACCGATTGCGGTAGGCATTATTTGATCCGGCGTGCTGCCCCAAGCGAAACACCACTTAAGGTGCAACACGTGCGAGCTCGCGTCTCGCAGCGGTTTCAAGAACCACTCGTTGTTGCAAACGCATTGTCGTATATGTATGCTAGCAAGCGTGGGTCCCAATCAGTGCTTCTATCAGTACACATACACGTACTGTACATACATATGATACGTAGTGTTCAACCCACATGGATAAATCTAGGTGGTGTAATCTGTGCGGCGCAACCTATGTGGTGCAATCTCTATTGTGCAATCGACGAGGTGCAATATATGTTGCGCAATCGATGTGGTGCAGTCTGCGTGGTGCAACTCACCCTGCCGAACTTGAAATTATCAACTCCACCCTTCGCGCAATCATCCCACCCACTGGCCCGCAACTTCGTTCGCAAAACCAATGCGGCAGCGATTTCGATGACTGCTTGGCGATGGCTGGTGCATCGCTGCGGCCGCGCTAACGCGCGCAGGCTCGCGCGCACAGGGGCCCGCTAGTTTGGCGCGACCGATGCGGCCGCGGCAGGGCTGACCGCTGGGGAGTTCCCAGCGCGTCTCGCAGGGCGCTGACGCGCGCATGCTTCAGTGCGAGTCGGTGACACGGGCGGGCGAGGTATCAGGGCGACGTCGGCAGCGGCAGACCCGATGATGATAGTAGCGGTGCTGGTGGCGACGACAATGACGACGGCAAGGCCGATGACAGCGCCGATGCTGATCACGCCGCTGGCGATGATGGTGTCCGCGCGTCGGTGATGAAGGTTTTGAGGGATTTCGACATGCGCGCGAGGCCGATGGGCGCTAGTGGCCCACATGGACTACTTGACAAGGCTTGTGCACCCCCCAGCAAGCGCGCAAAGGCATTCGAAGGATTCGGGCACGCGCGCGCGAGAGGCCCGCGTAGTCTGATTTGATGAACCTGGTGAAAAATCAAATGTTTTTGTAGGAATTCGCAATCGCGCGCAGTAGCGCGAGCTGACTTTTTTTGCGGGGGAACATTCATGCTGCAACACCCCATTGGGATCTCAGATGTTTTCGGGAACCTCGATCATGAGATCGCAAAAACAAATAGCTTGGCTAATGACCCAACCATGTGCACATGTGTGCCGCAGTCGTGAATCTCGTCTTCGGTGGAGCTCCTTGTAGGGGTGGGGGTGGGGGGGGAGGGGGCGAAACGTGTGAGGGGTGTGCCAAAGTGGGATGGCGGCGGCACGCGGGCGCTGTCAGTGGGGCCTTCGGTGGAACACCCTATGGGGCCACGAAACGTGTGAGGGGTGCGCCGAAACGGGTGTGGAACTGCATGCGGACCCTGCCACTGGGGCCTTCGGTGGAACACCTTATGGGGCCACGAAACGTGTGAGGGGTGCGCCGAAACTGGCGTGGAACTGCATGCGGACCCTGCCACTGGGGCCTTCGGTGGAGCACCCTATGGGGCCACGAAACGCGTGAAGGGGGCGCCGAAATGGAGGTGGAACTACATGCGGACCCTGTCACTGGGGCCTTCGATGGGGCACCCTATGGTGCCACGAAACATGTGATGGGTGCGCCACTGGGGCTTCGGTGCACCGAAATGGAGGTGGAACTGCATGCGGACCCTGCCACTGGGGCCTTCGGTGGAACACCCTATGGGGCCACGAAGCGTATGAGGGGTGCGCGGAAACGGTGGTGGAACTGCATGCGGGCCCTGCGACTGGGGCATTCGGTGGAACCCTATGGAGGACATGCGGAGGGCAGAGGCAGGGAGGGGATTTTTTTTTGACATCGACGCAAAGCTACCCCCCACATACTCACAGGTGGTGGGGCGAGGCCACTGTAGCGTGAGTGCACCTGCCGCGAAGCCCACCACAAGCATGAACCCGAAGAAGACCTCAACGAACAGGAGCACGCACGGCATCATGAAGAGCTGCCAGAGTCGTCCCAATCTTCGTCGAATAAACGGCTCAGACACGAACTGTGCCACGTAGCACGGCAGCGCGGACAGGCTGTCACAACCGCTCCACGAGGAATGGGAATTCCACACGCCCTGCATGAGCACCTCCCTGGCCCGCGACGCCGACGAACGAGGGTGCGATCACAACGGGCGCAACCAGGATCTGACCCACTGACCTCGAGCAACCACGGCGGTACATCAGGCTGCCGCCGCACGAGGCCCGCCTCACGGATCGCCTTGTCTCTACCGTCGAAGGGGGAGGATGAGGATACAGCCGAAACCTGCGCGCAGCCGAGCTCCACGTCCACACGCCCACATGCGACCTGAGCGGCAGGCTGACCCAGAGGAGAGACACCTTGAGAATGAACAAATACTTCACCTGACCCGACAGAGCGGCCAAGAGGAAGATCATGAGCAGCCGGGCCTGGAGAGACGCCCTCAACGAACTCCTGCTGCGTGCCATTCTCCACCGAGCGCGCATCGACGACAACGGCATTGGAGTCGCAGCTGGGCACCGCAAAGGGCCCTATCGGTGCGACGAGTGCGGCTTCCGCAGCGCTCGACTCCTCAACGGCCGCAACAGACACAACAGTGCCAGGGCAGCTGTCCCCGACGGAACTCCCGTCGACAACCTCCGACTCAGACAGAACGGGCGGCAGCTGCAGCTCGGTCAGCAAAGTGGCGACGTCGCACGACCAGCGGGCGAGGAAGTGTTGACCCGCACCTGGCAAGAAACAGGAGGCATCCGCGTTCCACACCGTCGGGCCAACGACCAGCGGCTCGAGCACGGGCAGCAAGCGCGAAGGCACGGCGTAGCAGACCTCGATATCCTTCTGAACTGGCTGTGCGACCAGAGTATGCCCACGACGACACTCCTGGGCGGCCAGCCGAGGGCCGAGGCGCGGACCGCGCCGCGCCGCGCGCAGCTGGCGCGGACTGGCGCGCGCCACGTCCACCCCAGAGGCCACGGCGTGGAGGGCCACGTCCCTGCGCAGCTTGTCCGCGGGCACGGGGAGCTGCCCCCGTAGCAGCGAGGCGAGAGCAGGTGCCACGGCGACCAGCCGCTGGACCACCTCCTCGTCTCCGAGCGTTTGCTGGAGCGCCGCGTGCTCCGCGCGGGCCGAGGCAAGCTCCCGCGTGAGCCGCTGGACCAGCGCGTCGGCAGACGCCCGAGCACCAGCAGCGCCGCGAAGGCGCCGTCGCCCCCCTCCGTCTCCAGTCGCTGCGCACGCCGCGGACGAGGCGGCGGCAGCGTCCCGCGCCAACATGGGTCCCACGCGCCGAAAACGGGCGGAACACCTGGCCTTGAGCCAAAATGGTTTGAGCCAAAATGGCTACGGAGGCAGGGAGGGGAGGAGGGAGGTGGGGGAGGAGGAGGGGAAGACGGAGGAGAGGAGAGGAAAGGAGAGGAGAATAACCCCATGCTCACGATAATAAGCACTAGGGGATAATAAAGTTCGGGGTTCAGGGGGAGATAATCAAAGTAGCCCACCAGACCTCAGCATAGTCTCGAAGTAAGAGATGATCAAGAGGAGACCAAACCGAGCACGTGTTGAGACATCCTTGGCGTTTAGTCTTCATTAAACTAT